TCCAAGTCAATGTGCAGTTCTTGCGATTCTTGTGTTTAGGTCGCGCAAAAAGAAATGCCACCTCATCCGGCTCCATCACTACTACTTTAGCACCACATTTTTCTATTGTCTCCTTAGCAATATCCCATTGTTTCTTTGCTTTGGGTTCGTCCACAAGGTTAGTGACACTCATCCATGGGTTAATAGCATAGAAAACCTGAATATGGAGCAAAACTCGCTGTTTACTCTCTAACTATTCGACAAATTGTTGTTTTGTAATGGCAAATAATCATCGCTTACCTTAAAGTATGTTGGTCTACACATCAAGATGCGAAAACCGTCCTTTCCCGTAGTTTGAACCATCTGCGTAGAGTTAGTGAGACAGGTAAACCCGCTTTGTAAGTGGAAATATGAAAAAATGAACCTCACTCCCGATTCCTTGCAAACTTGTTTTTCTCATTATTGCCGAGCTGATGGGTGGGATGAAGCACACATGCTTGAATCATTTATCATTAAAGAAACACCTCAAAAGACCTAATAATAGCAATGTAGGCAAAGAATATGGCGGGAAAAAACGGTGTTCAGATGCTCAGTCTCTTTTCAAGAAGTCGTTTTCTTGATAATAACCGTATTTCTTGCATAATTTTTTTTCTATTGTACTGTTCACCTTCCTTGTGGTAGCGGGAGTGCAAAAGTTTTTGTTTTGTGCAAGCTTTGGCTTTCTTTTTTTTTTGCTCTTGGTTACGAAACGGGTTAGGGGTCATGTTTGCGCGCTACAAAGTTAAAATAGCAAGAATGGCAGGATTACTGTAATGGGAAGCTGTGCCACTGGCATTACTTCTTTTAATTGCAATTCTAACCAACGCACTTCATATGTACAATGCACCTGATCAACTGGTAGTTGGCCATTTTTCGACAGTTACCTTAAGTGCCCATAAAGCAAAATTATACTAACAGCTACATACCTCTAGTCAATAGAATAGTTAAGCTTGCCTTATATGATTATATACTATATAAAAGTCTCTAACTAAATTATATGTTTGCTAAAATCGATGAGAGGTGAGTAGCTAACCACTACTCACCTCTCATCGATTTTAGCAAACATATAAATTTGGATTTCATTGACGAAGATCTCAGGGAAGATTACAAAAAGGAAGAGATGACGTAGAGCAAAGGCGATGTTTGTGGGCACTTTTTAAATCTTACGCCAACATTCAAAGATTGACGGATTCCGTGCGAATTTTGATTCTAAAGCCCTATACCCAATTCGTATATGCTGATGGACTTATACCTATGTGTTCTTCTGTATGGAGCTTTTTTAAAAATCTTTTTGTGATTTGGCTGAGATTGTTGCCCCATAGGTATACTTGTGGCACATGTAAAAGCTCAAACTTGGGTGAACTTTAAAATGGGAAACTTTATTTTATTTGACAAGAGGAAATGAGAGAAAGTAATACATAAATTTCCGTTTTTGCATGGCTTATATAGCATGAAGATGATTTTACCAAACGATGTTTGGTAGAATCATCTTTATTGCTATATAAAGTTTGGGTATGTGAAAATGATTCAAGCAGGGAAACATTTT